CTCCAGACTGTTCCACCAAAATTTGGGGGTGGGGGTGGGATGACAATCTTCAGCAGTATTTTTTTTTTAAATTAAAGTTCAAAACAGGTGTGTTAATATTTAAAGAACAGTAACAGCTTTAGATGCCTAGTCAAACTGGCTTCTTGTATTTTTAGTTTAAAGTACAGTAAAACAAAGTATTAGTAAAAATGTCCCTATATATTATGAAACCTCACCAGCTCTACTCAGTGTCCTGTCTATGAATAATGAATTCATTCTAGACTTTTATATAGACCCCCCCAAAACACAATACCTGCAAAAGAGAGAGTGTGAGAGAAAACTAGACTTGGAAAGTCCACAGATTTACAAAGATACATATGAACCTCATTTGAAAAATGGGGGAATATAAAAAACTAGCTTAATAAAAACTGAGCACGTGAGGAGGAAAAATTGAATGGTTAGCTGGTAGATCCCATTTGTTTAAGTAGGAAGTCATTTAATTAATGCAACAATCCATTCACCACACATGGAGTAGGACCACAGACTCTGTCTACACTCACGACATGATACAATCACCAATTTAGTTACCTGACCTTAAGCCAATAAACATCTATAACTTTAAGTAACATGTTTTCTAATAAGCAAGTCTAGTTTATTATAACAGCTTTATGGCCCTTTATGGAAATATGCTTAGGACCACAGCTCCAATGATCATCTCTAGATGCAACACAGCTGACTGCATTTGTACAATCCAGAATATCTGTTCAGAATCAGAATATGACACTCCTTTCATTATTCTATTAGTCTCTATTATAGTTTGCCAAAATCACCAAATAATTTCCATATAGTGTATCACAACACTTCTCATCTGAGAACTATTACTATTGCTATAAAGCTACAAGCCTATTTGAAAACAAATCTCAATAAATAAGAGAATCTAGATTCAAGTAAACATGGATTGGGTAAGAGAATAATTAAAATAGAAAACACATGTTAGAAATACATCAGCTTTATGAATTCTGCAGAATGCTTCACAAAAATGAGATTCTCAAATATTTTTTTATCCTGCAGAAGCCAGACTTCCCTGTCAAGTTTAATTCATGCCCTTGAACCTCCAGCCTTTGACCGAAAAACAAATCACACTTTAGCCATAAGAATCAGAACTTAATTTTAAACTTATTATGTGGAACGCAAAGTTGCCTGTTAGCTCCAATGTTATATAGGACACCTAAATACTTTAGAAAAAATAGAAAACATAATTTAATTCAAGAAAACTAAAAAAAAAAGATATAAAGGAACAATTTATAATTTTCTTGGGATGCATAAATATGTGGTCCAAACCTACATGAAATAAGTTCCAGTTACTCTTGGGAAGCATGTCATCTTTAGCCTGGTGACTGAGCCACTAAATTCAGACAGAATTATTTGTAAGTAAACATTCAGAGCTCAATCAATAGAAAGCCCAAGAACATACAACAGAATGCAAGCTCCAGTGCCATTAAATGTATTTCACCACTTTGCTTCATGACTCCCAAACAAGGGTGAGATATTGTTGACAACTCAAACGCATTCAGTATCTATTTACAGTTGATAGAATCACAGTGCTGGAAGGGAATCTTGGAGGCCTTCTAGTCCAACCCCCTGCCCAGTGCAGGAATCCTCCTACCATCCCAGACAAATGGCTGTCCAATTTTTTCTTGAAAACTTCCAGCGATGGAGTATCCACAACTTCAGGAAGCAGGCTGCTCCACTGCTTAATAGATCTCCCAGTCAGGAAATTCCTCATTTCAAATGTGGATCTCTCACTGTAAAGTCTCTATCTGATTCTTGTCTTACCCTCAGGTGCTCTGGAGAATAAATCCTCACCCTTTTCCCTTAGACATCACTTCATGTATTGGAAGACTGGTATCATAACTCCCCTTAGCCTTTTTTTCTTTAGGCTAAACATAGCAAGTTCCTTTGACCACTCTTGGTAGGAGTTAGCATCCAAGCCCCTTACCACCCCATTACTCTTCTCTGCGCTCTTTCCATGGTGATAAAGATAATGACTGAAGGTGGTTTCTAGATCGTATGAAATTCAAACAAACTCAAGATTAAAGAGGATGTACATGGGCAGGACTGCACCTTTACCTTCTACCTTCCCTCAGCCAATGGCCAATACTGAGAAATGATGGGGACTGCAGACCAACAGCACTGGATGAGCCACCCATTACTTGGCACAAGATATCTGTCAAAGACTCAAGAGTTCAGGTAACCAGCATTTACCTGACAAGGCCCTTCTAATCTAGCAGAGGCTAATTCAGTTTATAACTCCTAAAGTGATATACTTATAAATACAGATCCTGGTGGTGTGGTTGTTCTGAATTAATTAACATTGTCTATACTTGTGGGTTCTGACCAACATAGTAGTTTTAATAAAGACTCACTAATTGAATTCAGCCATGATTTAACCATATCATAATAAGCTAAACCAGAAAAACATGTTTTACAAATCACAACAGGTAGATTCACACAATAACCTAAAACAAAATAAAATAAACCTTTTTTAGGGATGTGTTACGTGAACTCATGTCAGAAAGACGCCACAGAAATCCCATTACAGTAGCATACTATGCAATCTTATATTTATAAATGAAGAAAGTTGGATTGAGTAAAATAGAGCTTACTCTTAAGTCAGATAGTGAAGGATTGTAACCTTAAGCCACATTTCATCGGGGTTAAGCTGTGGACTGAAGTTCTGACTAATGTTAATGATTATTCCTGAGTTCCAGCCATTTATTTGGAAGAAAATCTCAATCATTTTAGCTAGAGACTTCATTTGAGCTAAGGTCCAACAGAACTTCAGCTGCAAGATTTAAAAATATTTATAAGCCTCAATGAACACAAAGGGAGTTCATTCCGAAAGAGAAAAAAATGCATTAAGATCACATAGTTCCATATTTATCTACCACCAGCAGCAAAACCTTTGTGTGCATTGAATAAATGTGTATGAGAAAAAGAGGAAGCAAAGTCACCTTAGTGATCCATGCATTTAATTGAACTGACACAGCCTAAATGTGTAACTGTGTGCATAATTACAGAGTTCTGTTTCTTCCAGCTTCCTTGATCATATTAAGAGGTCCAATCAGGGGAGGCACATAAAAAGCAGGCAGAGCTTTGATCGCACTATTGTGGCTACCATCTTGACATTTTTTACCATACCCTGAGGACACTCCTGGGTCATATTCGCACATATAACTTGTAGGCATGCAAACTTTATTTGTACCATCAGCAAAATTAATCAGAAGAGGGCACAACAATTCCACTTTCTCCTCTATCTGTTCAGTGAAAGAATACAAATGTCTTATGTAAAGAACAATCCAGATTGACTCTGAACATGCCCAGAATGTCCCTCCATTCATTGCTATCATCATCAAATGCTTAGAAAATGTTTGGTTCCAGTGGCAAGGGTTTGACTGGGCTCGATTGCAAGAAAATAAAATAGCCTGACCTGAACCGAACCTACATTTTGTTTCCAAGGCACTGCTGTAAATGCTTTTTTTTTTTTTTTTTGGTACATATAACTGTTGCTCTGTGGTCACGTACTAATGAATGCAGTACACTATCAACTGCATTCCTAATGTGATCCACTGCCATACTCCAGTGCACAGAGTTGTCATTATGAGAAAAATGGATGATTTTGCAAGCTTGTGCATGCTTTATCGTTTGCATTTTATACCAGGAGCACAGGTCCCATGCAAAATACTACATCTGAGGGAAAAATAAGCTGGGCAAGCCATTTCAGTTTACTTTAAATGAATAGATTGCAGGACTTACTGAACATCTGACCCTTATCCCCAAAAGCTCACAACCGTCATCAAAAGAAAGCGAAAGGACACCAACTAAAAATTCAAGAACAGTAATTTTGCTTGTTTTTAAAAAAATCACGTTACTTAGGTTTTTTGACCAATATAAATACTCATTTTTTCTGCATGAAAATAGCTGTGTTTATACAACATGCTAGCCCCTACTTAACTGAATCATAATTTACTGAATTAAAGAAAATGGACTGGGTTCAGGCAAGACACTGAACCATAAACTAGTCCTTATTTATTTCATTGTTATTGTTATTATTTACTAAATTTATTATTTTAATTTTATGTTGGATGAATCCAGGAAACATGCAAAACCAGGAAGAGTTGTGTACATAACACATAGGTCAAGTGGCTTACGGATACTGCCCTCAACTGCAACAACAAAAACCACATGATCAAAGAAGTCTTGGTAATAGTGTCATGGGAAGGGGTTGGACAGCATACAGTATTACATCCGATTACTTCATGGAGGGGAAAAAACCCCTAATATTGATTGATGCCTCTCATTTCAGTCACTAAGCTGCGATAGCCACAGATATATTCAGGGAAGGCCTACACACCTACACACACAAATCAACTAAGGATCAGGTACCCCCTTCATCAATGGAAGATATTTCCCAATCAGTATGCCCGAGATTGCAATCCCATTTTTTCAGCGAAGTAAATCTCACTAGAAATAGTGGGATTTTAACTGCACGGCCTATGTTTAGCATGCCATTAGTCTGCAAAAAGTTATTCAAAACGCTCACAGACCAGCGGCCCCATCCTTAGCAGGTGAAGGGAGTCTTTAATAGCGTTTGCTTCTAATTAAACGAGTGAACATCACAGCTTCGGAGCATTAATCCAAAGTTCCGAAATACTGTTTCTCTTTTCCAATCTGCAAAGGAGAAGAGAAAGAAAGAGAAAAGAAAAGCGGAGGGGGCTCACACACGAGCTACCTTCCGCGGTCCACCTTTAAATGAGAAAATAGGGAGAATGGCCATTGGTTAAAACGGCGGAGCGCCAATGAAATGCCTCAGGATGTATGGAGGAAAAGTGGCAAAGGACCCGCCAACCCACGGTCTGAAACGCTCGTCTGACAGAGTTGTTTGTATGTTGGGTCAGCGAGCGGCTATTTCGCTCCCTCCAGCCTTTAGCAACGAGACAGGTACGGTGTGACTAACCTACCGGGGGAAGCGCGCGGAGCTCCGCTCCTCCACTGTCTTTTCCCGGCGGAAGAACTCGGCTTCGCCCGGCGCCGCAGGTCCGGTGGCCGGGCAGTCTCTCTCTCCCCCGGGAGCGCCCCTTCCACTCCTGCCCTCTCTCTCCGAGTCCCCACGCCGCTTAAGTTGCGGCGGCCATTGGCTTGGGAGACAGGACCGGCAGGCAGCTATTGTTCCCACGTGATTCCCAAGCCAAGTCAGGAGGGGAGTGAAGCGCGGCCGAACCAACGCAGCTTAACGCCAACGCAGGAAGGTGGCATGTCAGGGATCCGACACGGGATCGCGCCGTGGGCAGTGGATCCGGGATACCTACTGCTAACGCACCAAAATTATTAATCCTCCAGTATAGTGGGCGCTGTGGGATGCCCCACAAGCAGTAGTTTGCTTTTCCCGGGTCCCCGCCGCCCTCCAGTAAGCGCCCCGCCATTTATGAACCTCCTGAAGTTCATGTTAATTGTGCTATTGTTACTAGAATCTCATAGATAAGATGCTAATAGCCGGGAAAAACTATACCAAAGGAGTGCGTCCCCACTGAGAAGCTGCATCGTTAAGAATAGTTGGAAATAAGTCCCATTCGGATCAATAGGGTAAAGAAGGGTTCAACAGGGGGAAGAGGAAAGAAGAATCTCATCCTATGCAATTTACTCGCTATTCCCCATCCCATAATCTCTAGGGATGTCGGACTACAATTCCCATTCGCCCCACCTAGCATTACCAAATATAAGATCCCCACGGCAGTCTGATATTGTTGTGGTTTTCTTTCACTAGAGCAAGGTGAGAGGAAAAACTAAAGTGAAGGGAGTTTCATTTTCTTCAGGGTAAGGCACTTGGAGCGCTCCATATGTGGCTGAATTATCCCCCAGCAATGGCGGCCGATGCTTGCTTCGTATTGCATCCCATTCATATTTCAGCATAAATCACACTTAAATGCATTTTCAAATAATTGTGCTTTGAATTGCAAATTTGCACCTGTGTGTTTAAATTGGAAGTAAAACATAATGAACTCAATGGAATTAGTCCAAAGTGTATATATCCGGCCGAACCAAGATTATTCAGAAATCACCTTACTGATTTCAGTGGGATTATTTTTTCCCCCCAGTAGTTTGGCTTCAAGTAGTTTCAGCCTTAAAATGCAGAAATCCTCAGAATAATTTTGGATGAAAACTGTTATGGTTTTGCCCCGCCTCATTCACAGAATATTTTGGGTAGGGATCCAAATGGCACTGCCCTCCATTTCTAGCCCTCCTGCGTTTTCCCCGTATTTCTTCTATCTTTTATTCCCCTTCCCCCCATAAACCAAAGCTAGGGAAGGCTTCTGGAACTCTTTCCAAGCCCTTTTACTAGCTATGCTCATAGGAGGCATCTGTATTTTCTTCTACCTAATGACATAACATGTTGTATCTGTGAGTTTGTTTATCCACTCCCCTCATGTTACACATGTGTTTGTGCATGTGTGCTGCGCATGCTGTGTGAGTCATGGGATGAGAAAGGGCAAGAGTTGAGGATGGAGCGGTTGCCATCAACATTCACTGCTCAACCACCTCTTCCATATGGATACATTGGAGGACATTTTCTAGGTTTTTTTTCCCCCCACAAACCTGGACCAGAGCTAGCCCATTTTCCACGCAATCTATCTTTTGCCAACTTCTCCTCCTACTCCATATGTGTTCCTGTGCAACTCAGTTTTTGGAGTATTTTCCTGCTGATGAAGAGGCAGCCAAAGTCCCAGGCCCGTTTCCATATTTTTTTCCAATATTCCATTAGGTTGGAAGGAATAAAAAGGAAAATATGTATTTTGACTGGGAAGATTAGGAGCTGTCTGGAGTTAAGATCTAATCACCTGCTGCTCTATAATCCTGCGACATTAATGGGATTACATGGGGAAAAAAACAGCATATGTCTATTCACTTAAAGAGAGCATATTTCCCTATTACGTAGTTCTACTGACTCAGATAAATATATAAGAGAAATTGCCAGTTCTCTGTTGCATTGTGGCTCTTTCTGTTTTCACGTGGTCTTAAAAGTCCCAACTGCTGAAATCATTAGAATATCTGTTTCAAAGGGGCTTATTTATTACTCTTATAATAACTGTCTAAACTTTTGTGAGGCAAGTAGTGTGACTGGTCAGGAAAATTCACAAAATGAATGGCAGAATTCACCAAGGGTCAGCCCGTTGAGTTGACAACTTTATCCCAGTTGTTTCAGAGGGGAATGAAGAAGAAAACCTGGGAATTTCCTGGATTCAAGATGTTGGAAATGAATTAGGATTGCCCACAGAACTGCAGGAACTGCCCTGGCCAGGAGTTTGGTATGTGGCATATCTAAGTTTCTTCTTGTTCTATTCCTTTTCTGGTGTATCTTGGCCAGAAGGGCATTTCTCTTAGCAGATCCCTTTAAAAGCAAATTTTTGAGGTCAACATTGCCTGGCTGAGAGGAAGTATTTTCTGCTGACTAAAATGGGATATCTGCTAAAAAAAAAAAAGGACTCACACCTCATTCTAATCTCCCTGCAGCCAGTACATGTATAAATTGGGATGGTGCTATTAAACTGCAATCCTGTGCATATTGTCCTGGGAATAAGTCCCCCCTCCCCACCCCACATTGGTAAGATACTGCTCTAAATTCTAGTTCCCCACAAAGTGTCTAGGGCATTACCATTTCTATTGATACTTTCCCTGGACTTTTCAGGTTCCATCCCCATCTATTTTTGTCAATAAAAAAGATGAATGCTTGCATAATGCAAAGCAAAGCATCAGCTGAAAGAATAATTTTTATTTCCAGGGTTGCTTCTAGGCTCTGTATATATCCCAGAGGCATTTTTTAGAAAAAAAATGAGGGAAGCTAAATTTCAGTGCTTTGCTTAGAAATATGGCCATCTAATAAATAATTCTTTTATGACTGGCTACAGCTATCATGGCAAATGTTTGGTGAGAATGCCCATAACGTGTTGCCAGCATTGCAGATCTGATCACAGCAGGACCCCTTGATCTATGTGAACTTAACTGAGTAACATGGCAGAATAAAAAAAATGTCAACAAAAGTCTTAGAGACCTTTGTAGATTAGTTCCATTGATATCATATGCTTATGCTTTCTTAAATCATGCATTGAATAGCAGCCTTAAATCAGCTATCAAAACAAATTTGTGTAGGAGAAATTCTGCATAATGTTGCAACCCAATCTTTAGTTTAGTTGCCCTAACTTTCTAAAAGATGCCTATGTCCAGGTAACAGACATCGTTATATCATAGCACTTTTATGCAATATTGCAGAGTCTGTGGTGTCTCCATATAAATTAAATGTTTTGAAGAAACCAAGCTAGGATAGATACTAAAGAACAACTGGCAACATGAGCATCCAATTTCCAAATGCTACTTCTGCATTTGCAAGTCTTCTGTGATATGATTACTTCATTTTAAAAGTACCAAGTGGGACAATTGTACTATCTGCCTAATATTTTGCCAGATTGATTTTGTTTTAATAAAAATTAAAACATTAATATGATTACATGCAAATTTATATCATAAACAATAGTGATACATACCTCAAATTAGGCTCTTTTGCTGCGTGGGTATGTATCCTTGAGAGTATTTGGATATCTCAACTAGAGCAAAATAGTTACCAGACTTTAGAAATCACAGATCACCAGACTTGAGCACAATACACAGACTTTCTGATTGTTTCCAAACTAATATAAGATGTTAGTTTTAACCTGTGAAGCTCCAGACAACTTGGAGAATCTGAAAAGCCATCTTCTTACCATAGAAATGTACAGTTTTCATTAGAGAGCCTTTGGAACTTTCTTCTAAGGAAAATTAAATTGGCTTCTGTACCAAACTTTAGACATGCAGTACAAGCTTTTTTTAAAAGGACTTTATTCACTTTTGATGGATTTTAATATTGTTTTGGTTGGTTAAAATAATGTTTTCTTTATGCCTTTTTGTTGAAATTATTTTGCTGTTGCTGTTTTAATTGTACATCTTTGTAAGGTCCCTTGTAGAAAGTGATTTATAAATACTTTTCATAAATTAATATTATCTAGTCTTCAAACTGGCATCAATTCATGCTCATATGACAACTTCTTGTGGATGTGGGGAAAAGGGCAAGGAAAAAAAATAGCTAAAATCTTTTACCCCACAATCTTGGTTAGGCTGGAGAAGTTGAAGGTATATGATTTGAAAATTAGGACCATGCAGATTTAGAGAATATATCTCAAGTTCCTTTCTTATATCATCAAGAGTTGAAGAAAATGGCCTAGTTTCGATGCATGTTACTTGCATGAATACAATTACCCTTACTTTCCTCCTCCAGCATGGTTTCAAAAAAGAAATCAGTAGCATATATTTCCATGTTCACTTAACCACAATTTGTTATTATGTGTTACTAATAACTGTTGGGAGCACAAACCACAGAAGTTGGCTTGCATCATTTGAGAGTCAAGTTTCAAGCACTTAGGATCCTAATGATCAGCAGATTGGAGAGACCCATCTCCACAAAGTTATATCTCTCCAGAGCAGAGAAACATAAATCCACCTGGCTAGACTGTGCCATACTTTCCTGTGAATGGAGAAGGGGATGCTTTAAGGGGTGTGCTTCAGAAAGAGGGAGGACCCTCTAGTTAATCTTCATAAGGATGCAACTGGCTCTTGGGCCAGAGTTTCTCCTCCTTTTAAGACAGAGCACCAAACACAGTTTGTCTCATTTTAAATAATATAAAAACCTTCACTGAAAATGGAAGGATATAATTCTTGCCTCTTCCTGGTCATATCATAGAACAAGAGAAAAGTGGAAGTGCATGAACTTAAGACTTAATTTCATTTAGCCTTGTGATTTTATATTATATTTAAACAAAGCCAATGGCTGTAAGTTCTTTTATGTACCAGAATATAAACTGGGAATATGATCCCAGACCAAAATAAAAAATGGATTCCAAACCAAAGATGCATGTGAGGATTCTGATAACTGAATGTTACTGAGATGTTGGGAGTAGGCATTGCAAGGAAGCTGAAAAGCAAATGATTTTTTTTAAAAGCTATGTTTTTTTCATCTCCTTTTTAATTAATAAATCTGCCTACCTGGCTAAGTGATTGTTGTTGTTATTATTATTGTTGTTGTTGTTGTTATTGTTACTGTTATTATTATTACATTCATA